CCTGCCCTGCCTGCCCTGCCTGCCCTGCCCTGCCTGCCCTGCCTGCCTGCCTGCCTTCCTGCCTTCCTGGCTTCCTGGCTTCCTGGCTTCCTGGCTTCCTGGCCTTCCTGGCCTTCCTGCCTTCCTGCCTTCCTGCCTTCCTGCCTTCCTTGCTTCCTTGCTTCCTTGCTTCCTTTCTTCCTTCCTTTCTTTCTTTCTTTCGTTCTTCCGTTCTTTCGTGCTTTCTTGCTTTCGTGCTTTCTTGCTTTCGTGCTTTCTTGCTTTCTTGCTTTCTTTCTTTCCTTCGTTCCTTCTTTCCTTCCTTCCTTCTTTCTTTCTTTCTTTCTATCCATCTTTCTTTCTTTCTTTCTTTCTTTCTTTCTCTCTCTCTCTCTCTCGCTCATTCTCTTTAAGTGTTTCTTTCTCTGCCTTTCTCTCTGCACAGCGCGCTCTGAGCGCGCCTTTCTGGAGCGTGCGCGCGCTGTCCATAGCGCGCGCGCGCGCTCGCCCTGCCCTCTTTCTTTCTTGAGGACAAGAGGAGGACAAGGCCTGGACACAGAGCCCAGCCACAGAGTTGACAGAGTTCAGGAGCACGGCCAAGAGGAGGACAAGAGGAGCAGAAGAGGAGGACAAGGCCCAGCCACAGAGCCCAGCCACAGAGTTGACAGAGTTCAGGGAGGAGGACAGCCACACGGTTGACGGACAGGGAGATTGGGATCTCACTCTACAACTCCCTGGATGTGGACTCCATCTGCTGCAAACAAGGTGTCGACAAGATCCCAGCGCTGGCAGCAGGGGTTAAACCTTGCCCGGATAGCCTAACCATTCGCTGCAGTCAAGAAAGATGAAGGTTGGGATGATTGCAGCTGGCCTGTACCTTTGTCCAGCGCTGCTGAGTGGCCGCCGTCTTGGATTGCTGCCAGTGCCCCACTTGGCTGCCTGGCCTTGGATTGCCTCATAGTCCTTGAGACGCGGCCCACAGTGCGGCCCACGTAGGCCCAGTCTGCCACCGTCTTCGAGCCTAGCCGCTGTGCCTGAGTGACGTGACCAAAGCTTGACCAAGACGCTTCCATCGCTGCCTCATGAAACAGCCTAGACACCCTTTTGACGAGGTGGCAGATGATGAATCTGGCAGGTCTCGGGCCATAAGTGGAAGGAACTCATCTTGAGCAAGCGGCTTCAATTGCAGAATGGTGGCCACTTCAGGATCCCTTTATCAATCATTTTCTCCCACACCGGCCCATGAGGATTGGGTGGTAATCAGGCGCGAACGCAAACCCAGGCGCATGAGGGTACAGTGACATGTAACTGAATTCTGATTCAAATCGTTGACTGCACCCAGCTGGTTCAGGAGGTGGAGGCTATAAAGGAAGGGGATGTCCGGGCTTTTGAGATCCAAGCTTTTCTGGTTGAAGTGATCGGTGAACGTGATTGAAAGTGAAAGCGCTCATGACGTGGCTTTCCGTAGATGTTCAACCGATGCTGATGCTGAAGGAGGTGTGCGTGTCCATCGAAACACAAACGCTGTATCCATGAAAGCTGGCGTGCTGTACCCATGATCATGTACCAGATGGCGTCCAGCGTTGAGGTGCTCAGACGCAAGTGAAGTATAGGACTATAGGACCGTATAGGATAGTGAACGCAGCATAACAAAATGAGGATGAGGGGAGTACGCCGTCCCGATTCCCGATCCATAATGCACAGTCACCAACTTTTGGCATCTCCTGAGCTTGTGTCGCGGCAGCCTTTTTGGCCTTCGGTGCAAATGGAAGTCTTCGTGCTTTGCCAAAAAACAATATGGGTCTCTCTCCGGCGTCATCAGCAGCGTCTTCCTCCAATGGCCGGGAGAGTGTGTTGCCCCGGTCCCGTCAGGGCAGGTTGTCCGGTGTTTTGGTCTGAACACCTTTCTGAAGCCTTTTTGAAAGCCCTTTCCTTTCCCACCATACGAAGATGCGTCTGGCACTGCTCGGCGTCGCTTTCGCCTCGCCCTCGTTAACTCTAGGATGAAGGAAGTAGGGCATGTCCCGTTCTGGAGGAATGCGAGCGCGAAAACTTCGTCGCTCCAGGATACTGATCATCAGGCAAGAAAAATCCGACCACTCGCTTTCCAGGCCAGCGCTGTAGATGCGCCCTCCTTCTCGTGTCCAGCCGCGGAAGATGCAAGCCAGTCGGCAACCATTCCAGGTGTTGTGTCAAAAGACAACTTTTTCACGACTTTGAGGATTGGAAGATTGCCAGGTTGCTACAGACGCATCGAGAAAATTTGCTTGGCGCGCGATTCAGTCAAGAGGCTCTAGTCTTGGGTCGCGCCCACCTTGGCAGCGCCTCATCTAGGGTGGAACTGCTCAGTCACTTGAGTTCGCAGGTGATCTGCGCTGAATGCTTCAATCAATATCCAGAGCTCAAGCCTGCTCAACCCAAGGGCAATGGCAAGGGCCACCAAGCCCATACTCTTCTGCGCTCGAGCCTCTCAATGAGAACGACGGGAAAGAGCTTCACGGACCCCTAAGCTTCCCATGTACCCTCCTACAGCGTCATGAACAAGAATGCCAACTACTACCAGGGATGTGGTCCTGGAAGAGCTTCGTGAACAACAACGGCCATTGGTCGAGTGGACGCGCGCACAATGTGAAGCGCCCATCCGTGGCCCTGGTTGAGGGCAAAAAAGAATGACCAGCGTGAAGTCATGACTGTTGGATCCATTCATTCATTCATTCATTCATTCAATCATTCAGTCATTCATTCGTTCAATCATTCATTCATTCATTCCTTCATTCATTCATTCATCCATCCATGCATTCATTCTTTCAGTCATTCATTCATTCATTCATTCATTCCTTCATTCGTTCATTCATTCATTCATTCATTCATTCATTCATTCATTCATTCATTATTTCATTCATTATTTCAATCATTATTTCATTCATTCATTCATTCATTCATTCATTCATTCATTCATTCATTCATTCA